TGCTTTATATTCACACCATCAATAATAGCAAAGAGTTCCACCATAATCATAGGAGAAATTCACCCTTTCCTCTTTTAATCATTTTTATTCCTACTTCAATTGACAATCTGACAAAAGGAGTTCAATCTCCAACAATCTCTATTCTAGAAACCCCTACCAAATCCCAACATTCTTTAATAAGGTAACCCCTATTCTTGTATCTAGATAAATATATATCTAAAGAGTTTTTTTTATAAGATATATCTAAAGAGTTAAGCTTTTAACTTATAGTTTGATATTAAACTAACGTTTTGGTACTTGCATCTTCCTAGCAAAAAACAAATTTGAATAATTTGGTCATTTTAATACCAAAAACCCTTGATGATTTTTTTTTTAATGAGAAACAAATATTTCATTGATGGTATGAAATATACAAAAGGCCATAAAGGCAATTACAAGAGAGCTTTCCAACTTGTAATAAGATCATTTAGAGAGTAGCTATTAAAGGGGGTAGAAACATTTACACCAACCAAGAGCTAGGAAAATAACTCTATCAAAAAAGATGTCAAAAGGAAGGGCTTTGTCATTAAAAATTCTATTGTTCCTCTCAGCCATAAGCTCCAGTGAAAGGCCTGAACAAACTGTAACCAAAGAGATGCTCTTTCCTTCTTGAAAGGATGTCCCGCCAATAGTTGGTCAAGAAAGATTGATGGCTTGTTGTGAAGAGTTGTCTCCCATCCGAAATCAGTTAGGAGATGGTTCCAAAAATGAGAAGCAAAAGTGCAATGGATAAAAAGATGACTCTGTGTGTCATAAGCCCCATAACAAAAATGACAGCAATTTGGAGAGAGAGTATGTGTGGGTGTTTTCTTTGTATCCTATCAATGGGTATTTAACGCCCCATGACAAAGCTCCCGGCATAAGAACTTTACTTTTCTGGGGTATTTTCCATGCCAAATGAGAGGAAAGAGTGTGGAGGCCGCTTGGGAAGCATTAGTAGTGAGAACATTGTAAGCTGATTTTGTGGAGAAGGATCTCGTTGCTGCAAGGGGCCAAATCCATCTGTCTTCTAGGGAGGTGGGTGTGTTGTCATTTAGGAGGAGGAATAGGCGCATCCAATCCATGATCACTTCTTCCTTTAGGGACCTACGAAAGCTATAATCCCAGGAGGATGTCGTTTTCAACCATAGATCTGTAACAGCTACCCCTTTGTTGGTCGAGATGGTAAACAGATGTGGGAAGAGGCTGTCCAAGGTTCCATGGGTGAGTCATCTATCCCTCCAGAAGCTGATTTGACTGTTCTCTCCAACTCTGCAAATTGCATACTTCTTGACAAAGCTGGTTTGTTGATAGATTCGAGTCCATGGTCCTTTGTAGACACTTGATCGATTTTTTGGCCAAGAATCCGAGAGGGATCCTGTGTATTTTGTCGAGATGAGCTTCCTCCACAGTTGGTTTGGCTCGGTGATGTATCTCCAAATCCACTTGGATAGTAAGGCTTGGTTTATGTGCTTTATGTTTCCAACTTCGAGACCTCCTTCACAAATTGGAAGCTGGGTGCAAGTCCAATTTATGAGATGAGTCTTCCCATTTTTCTTCTGTCCTTCCCAAAGAAAATCTCTAAAAATTTTGCCAATAAGATCAGGCGCTTTAATGGATATTTTGAACATGAAGAGATAGTAGATAGGTAAGTTTGTGAGGACCTGGTGAGTCTCCCTCCTTTAGAGATGAAAAGGTTGTTCCATTTGCTAAGCCGGTTTTGGATCCTTTCAATAATCGGCAGCCAAAAATCCTCCCTTCTAGGGTTACCATTTAAAGGAAGACCCAAATAGGTGCTTGGCCAACTCCCTGATGTACAGCCCCAATCCTTTGCAATCTGATCAGTGATATGTATGCTAGTAGATATACCATACACGCTGGATTTTTTCTAATTTATGTTAAGACCCAAGGCCATCTCAAAGAACTTGATGACTTTGTGGAGATTCTTGATGGAGATAGTGTCCTTTTTAGAAAAAAATGAGAGTGTCATCTGCAAAAACTAAAAGAAGATGGTTAATATTAACCAAGCCTCTAGAAAAATAACCTGTAATAAGACCTTTGAGTTCTCCATGTAGAAGCAATCGGCTTAGCACATCCGTGACCATTATGAAGAGGAAGGGGGACAGCGGATCCCCTTGTCTCAAACCTCTCATTGTGGTAAATTTGCCCCTAGGCTTTCCATTGATGATAATGGAGAAGCTAGTAGTGGAAATGCAAGCTCGTATCCATTTTCTCCATGTCACCCCAACACCTTTGCGGTACATAACCATATCCAAGAAGTCTCAATCAATCATATCAAAAGCCTTCTCAAGGTCAAGTTGAAAAATAAACCCTTCTTCTTTTCTAGCATACCATTCATCAATAATTTCATTTGCCATAAGAGAGAAATCAAGGATTTGCCTACCCTCTACAAAAGCATATTGGTGGTCCGTGATGGTGTGTGGTAGTACCTTTTTAAGCCTTTCAGAGAGAACGCGAGCTAGAATTTTGTAGGCACAAGGAATGAGGCTAATGGGTCTGTAATCGTGAACTATTTTTGCATCTCCCCGTTTGGGGATGAGGCCAATATAGGTCTCGTTGAGGGTTGCGTTGATGATTCCATTTTAGAAAAAATCAAGGAACATTGCCATGATTTCGGTTTTGATAATGTTCCATGATTTTTTGAAAAATTCTGCAGTGAATCCATCTAGCCCCAGTGCTTTGTCGCTGCCAAGACAGGAGACTGCTCGATGGACTTCTTCTTCTGTGAAAGGAAGCTCCAGCGTTGTTGAACTAAGGTCTGAGATGGATCCCATGGGAGGTTGATGGGGCAGCATCGATGTCCAACTTTCCTAGTGTAGAGGGTCTTGTAGAAGTCAAGAAAACCCTTGACGATTATTAACACTCATTAGATTTGCTTAGAGTTCTCATGGCCCTAGATGGAAGGTTTTTCGAAGAGCCCCTGAGATATTCAAGAGTTGATATTTTGAACTTCGTTTGAGCTTGTTCTAGCGATTTTTGTTTGGTGCAATGCGCCTCAAGCTTCGTTTGGTCCTGGTATATGAGAGGCTTGGCCTTTGTTGTTTATTGTTTCAGATGGCTTGAAGGTGGAGCCTTTAGCCAACTTTTTTCATTTTTCAAAGATTCTTGGTCGTTACTTGCGGTTGAGTTCACTTCAACTTCTCAATCTGCAACTTGGTGTTTGTTTCGGATTTTTTCAACCAGGCTTCTTCTTCTTTTTGAAGCCTCTGTTTCAGTTTCTTTGTTATTCCTTTGGCTTTTATCTTTTCGGTGTTGTTCAATAGTTTGCAATTGGTGGTCTTTGTCCTTGGTTCTGTGTTACTTGGTGGTTACTTTTCCTTTTCTCTTCACTTCCTTTGGGAAGTTTCCATCCTTGAACATTTTTCTTCCTTTTCATATATTTAATGAAAGTTTGTTTCCTGTCCAAAAAATAAAAATAAAATACCAAAAAACCTTGATGTCTCCCGAATACGAGTCTTGGGGGCCGGGGATGCCCCTTGGTATAGGGGAGCAAAGCTCTGACTTGTAGTTATTGAGGCATCATAAACATCACCATATGTTGATTGAAAGAATATATGATGAATCTAAAAGGGATATTGATCTTGTGTTTGAGGATGCTTTTTAACATCAGAAGACATAGCCAAAGCTGCTAAAGTAGAACACCCTACCTATCAATCCAAAGCAAGGACTTCAAATACAACTAGAGTTTCATGTTCATCTACCTATCAATCCAAAGCAAGGACTTCAAATACAACTACAGTTTCATATTCATCTGCACCGATAGATGTAGAGATAAGTGAAAATGAGACTGAAAAGGAAGATATAAGATGTATAAGTTCAATGACAAAGAAAATGAGATTAATAACCTATTTAGTAATGGTCTTTAAGCTATCAGATTATATAAATTGTTTCCATGATTTTGTACACTTTGTTCATAGAAGACTCAAAATATTTTCTCCGTTTTTTTGTATGTTATATACCATGTCTGTTTTGCCTCATTCTTCACAAGTTCACACTAATATTTATTATTTTTTGAACAGGATACGAACTTTTCATTGAATATATAAAAAGGAACAAAAATTATTCAAAGATACAAACTCCCAAAGGAGTGAGAGAAAAAAAAAAGAGGCAAAATTCCCTAAAAAGATCACACTAATATTTATTATTTTTTTCCGAAAGGCAACCAACAAAACAGCCACGTGCAATCATCGTCAAAGCAGCCCACCTCGAGTTCGACTCGACAGCCCGCGAGCGTCACCCCCGCTCGATGGAAGGGCTCCGGTCTCCGTCCGATCCGGCTGGAAGCCGTTTGGGCATGGGTGGCATCGCACACTATTATTTATTATTATACATATAAATAAATATTGTGTGCATCGCAAAAAGATCTTCACTTTTCTTTGTGCCACACACTTGAGCACCAGAAGGTTGTTTTCTCAAGCACCAGAAGGTTGTGCAAGATGCCACAAGGAGGTATAATAAACACAGTTTATTCATCAATGGGAAGAATTTTGCTTTAATACCAATGGATGAAATCTCTTTAAAGAAAAAGCTTTCCAGTGAGACAATAGCAAGATTTAGAAACACAATCACAAACAAGTAATAGCTTGCTAATCTCTAGCAACAACCAGTAACTGTAACTAAAGGTGTTGAGAATTAAAAAAAATACACTAATAGAACCCGAACACTAACAATATATTGGTAAATAAAAGATAGAATAACTACAATATCTCCCAAGTAATTCGAGGTACTTGGAGTCTTGGACCCTCCCCTCTCTTGAGTATTCTTACTCAAGCCTAAAGCATACTGACCAACTGCCTACCTTCATCATTTTCCCCTCACCCTATTTATAACCAAACTCCCTAACTCAATTACTAATATACACTTAATAACCTAAATATATCCTCAACCTATCCTAATAGCAATCCTATCACACACGTCTCAAGAAGTGTCCTACTAGCTAACCTTAAATCATGCCCCCACATATATATATATATAACAAGATACAAATTTTTCATTGATAATATGAAAAGGAAGAAAAATGTTCAAGAATACGAACTCTCGATTGGAGCGAAAAAATACGAAAAACAACTAACAAAGAACAAAGCTCTAGAAAATACACGAGAATAGAACAAATAACCAGAACCACATCCTTCATCCTTCATACACCCACATATATTAAAATAGCAATTCATCTCCACGAGTATTGTTGGCTCCTACTTGTGAAAATTAACACAAGCCAAAAGTTCTAGATAAATGGATGAGTACTTAACACGTCAAAGGAAACTGGAATGATTCAATTATTTTTACACCTTTGACACATCACTTTTACACTTTTCACATTTCAATGGTGATGGAAGTTACATGGTTCACGAAAGAAAGGTAAGACATCCTTATTAATTGCCCACCTAATAATTCTCAAATATATAAACTTTAATAAACAAGATGAAAACCTGAAAGTTGTTTGATCGTGAACCATCTGGAGAAGACTTTCTATGTCCAATGTTTCCATAAGGATAAGTAATAGTCTAACTTTAACTTGACAAGAAGAATGTATTGCCGCAGTTGATATTGCAAGCATTTCAATGTTATAAGATCCAGATATGATTCCCTGGGCCACTTTCATCTTTAGCACATACAGAATAGAAGAATACTTGTATAATTATAACAAAGGGGAAAGATACAGCAATAGAAGAAAAATAATGTACCTTATAAAGCAGACACAATTCTCTCCATCGCTCACCATTACATCTAACAAATGACTCATAATATGTAATAAAAAGAATGTCCAAAATAAGATTATCTTCTGTCAAGGTCTCTTCAGCCCATAATGTGAAAAGGTCAACATCCTACATAGCATTTTCAATTGTCAATATCAATATAAAATATTAATCATAGACAATGGAAAATAATTAGACCATTATTCTTTTCCTCATTTAAGTGGGGAAATATTTTGGAGGCAAAAGTAAATATCTAAATGACATTCAGGGCAACAATTAGAAACAATACGTTAAATCACCAATCAATCTAAAAGTGTTTAAACTAATGAATTACCGTACATTTAATCTTTTCATTATATTTGGGAGTTTGTATCTTAGAGCATTGTATTTTCTTCTCATTGAAATAATGATAATGAGAAGTTTGTATCTTGTTCTAAAAAAAAGTAGAAACCTTTAACACCCTTCTCACTTGCAGACTTGAAAATTTGCACGTGGTAATCAATATTAATTGGGAAGGAAATGACATTATTGGGTTTGAACACAGGACTTCCTGCTCTAATACATCATTAAATCACCAATCAATCCAGAAGTTTAAGCTGATGGGTTATAGTAAATTTAATCTTTTATAGATATCTTTAACCATGACAAACAAAGAAACCAAAAAAAGAAACCACCTAAAGGCTTTAGGGAGGAGGAATCCTTAAGCCTAATAAAAGGAATAAAACAAAAGGGATCCACTCTAAGTTGATAATAAAAGGAGTTCTACAAAAATACTTGTGAATAGCACTCCAATTGCTCCTGATAACCTAATTATTCAAAATTATAAAATACCTCGTACAAAAACTCAAATTTCTTTTTTTACATTAGTCAAAAAGGACTATTGCAATTTAATGTGTCACATGCTTTCATGCAAAAAAAATATGGTGACAAAGGAATTAACTTGTTGAAGTGGCTCAATCAGCATGTCTACGTAAATCAAGCTCCAAATTTAACAACATTAAAGGAAAAAGGTTGAATGCATCATCCATTCTAATCATACCATCTGATCAGGGTGAGCGGAGGACATAAGACTTTGCAGGACCGATATAAGTTTGCTTTCCAATCCATCGTTAACCAATCTTAGTGCCTTGTCACAAATATAACCTTTCTTGGATCCATTTCCAACATATACTACATTGAGAGCATCAATTGGAAGTGAGCAAGAAGAAAACAATTAAGAATTAAGTATAAATCAACTGAAAATTAACATTTATAACATAAGCAGTCCTAAATTACAAAACTCCATATCTCACAAAACTAGTTAAGAGAGGTAACAGGAGGAAACAACTCATAATCCGAAACAGTAATCACTTATTAAAATGAACTTACAAGCATGCAAGAGTATGCGCCTTGTACATTTCAGCAAGCACTGCCGTTCAATATAATATTCAAGTAGAACCTTCATAAAAATAAGAAAACCAAATGAGACAAGGACAATAAATTAGAATATATTACCAAAAATGAACTTGATATTAATTTAAGGTCTTAAAGATGAGAGAAAATGCAAGAATTACTGGATTAAATTTAAATTTTTTATTTTTGGGATTCTCCTACAGTTTTCATTGGCATTGGAATCTGAATCATATTTTCAGATACTGTTCCGAAAATATGCTATGTCTTGGTGTAAATAATCTCCCATTTTTCATTACTACTGGATACTCTTTTGACCAAATGGAGAAGTTTCTTGTAACTCCTTTGGTTCAGGGATGTCCTTTTGTAATTTCACTCATCAAAATTGTTTCTTACCAAAAAAAATATTGTCGGATACCGTTTGCAATGGGAAAAACTCAAGAGAAATAAAAATAAAACTGAAGAACGTAAATCTATTTCAAGATCTTACAATCGTTGTGGACTTGAATCCACAAGCCTTAAGTAAAGACACACACAAAAGAACAAAATAAGACATCAAAAAGCAAAGTAAAATTGTATTTCACTTAGTAAAGCAGAGAAAATTTTATTTCATCAAGTGCTTTTAAAGGCACGAGCTACACAATAGCCCTTTAGAGCCTTGTGCAAGCCCACAAAAATTGTAAGCCTGAAGTGAGATGAGGCGCACAGTATATTAAAAAATAATAAAATTTTAATATTACAGAGGATTAGATAAAGAAGAATTAAAGAAGAGAGGATTTTTTTAAGTGACTATCAGGTTTTATTTAAAGAAATAAATGTCCAAGTGAAATATACTGTTTAAAGGAAGAATTAAAAATAAACTGAGTACAAATAGATCGTTTGCTCCATTGGTCAGTTGTACATACATGAAGTTCAGCATCCCCAGGTTTATGGTTCGAGTCTCATGGTAAGCAAAACTTTAATAAAAATAAACTCTGGGTACAAGCAAAAATGCACCAAGGGCACCAAGACACGTGCCTTATTACAGTTGCCTTGTCACAATTTCCAGCATCTCAATGCAAATCATGCTTTTCTAAATAGTCATTTCACTGTCCTGGAAAATACTAACTTAACTAAACTACGAAACTTATTAGACCTGGAAATTTAAATAAAATTCAAATAAATGATAATATATGAGTTTTAATCCAAGTCTTGCTTGATATCACACAGCGCAAATGATCACCAATCCATGTCCCCAGCCTTTCTAGTAGCTCCACCAACTTGTAAACAAATAATTTAAAACAAACCTTTTCCTCTTCGTTGAGGTGATTGACATTTTAGCCAATTGCTTTGGTTTTTTACAGAGAGGGGACGAACAGAGTGCGTCCACGGTCTACCCCATCTTCAGTTCACTCATGAAAATTTTATTAATCAAGGAAAAAACTAAATACAACCTAATAGCAACCGTTTTTTTTAGGCTGCCACTCACCTCAAATTTTACAAAATGCCTCTCAACAATTATAAAATTATCCCAACCTAAAACAAAAGAATAAACCATTTTAACAATCTTAATATACCGAACAGACAATCCTCCATCAATTCCCCTCCGCCTAAAAAAAAAAAACCCCATCCACGAGTCACATGGATATATAAAACTGATCTGGGGAATTGTATCCTTGAAGATCCGCGATGCTGAAGGTAGGATTGATATTCAAGTGATGGGTAAGTTCTACTGTGAGAGCTTGAATTCATTCCCTCTGGCTCATTTATTTTTTTACTAGTCCCAATAACTGGTAGGTCAACCCATTGCAGTTCGTTCATTACATCCATTGTATGTAGACTACAAGAGCTCTAGTGATTTAACCTCATAAAACATTAATCAAAAAGTGTTGGAGCATACAAATTTGTGCATATATCCTTGGCAGACTGAATAATTGATCCTACTACTCGCCATCATCATAAACTTAAATTAATGTATGATTAAATACCGAATCTCCACCACTGAACAAACTTTAATACCTATCTCGCAAGGTGTCCACTAAATATACATACAAGAACTAATGGAAGATGTTACTGACCACGTGAAGAAGTTCTTGAAAGGGGGAACTGCTAACCACATTCTCGTGTTCGGTGGTTCTTTCGGCCAGAATGTATGATTGCACCTCATCCAAATGCTGAAACCGATAGATAAATGTAGAATATCAATGTATTATTTATTATTTCATCAAGATAAAAAAAAAGTACCATGTCCACTAATTATTATTGAAATGTCCCTTTTCATTCGTATTATACCTCATAATTGAAAAACCAACCTCATCGGACAAAATATAGATTAGACAAATAGCGAATAGGATAATAGAGTTCTCATATTGCATGCATATAACATGACTAACGAAGGAAGATGAGTTGTTAGCTTAACGAATGTAGTGCTGTGGCATTTAGTGATTTACAATGGGGTGGAAAACAGTAAAATGTCGAATATAACAACAAACCATATAAATCGTGCGGGCACACACCAGATAGGAGCTAAACTTCAGAGCTTTAACTTTCAGTTCAGGTTGTATAGATAAAGTGTGGGATCCTACTTTCACTTGCGGAGAATCTAAAGCCACCCTCGATTTCTCGTTCGGTTTCTTGAAGAGTGAAACAGAGTCCAAGAACCAAGCACGGTTGTCATCCAACTTTTTCATCTGAAAAGACACTGACCACAGTCACATGTGAACTCAATCACCTACACGTTAGATGCAGAGGGGAAGAATTTTACCAGTTCCGGAGGAAGTTGTGCAGAAGAGAGGGAGACATTTTCGAGCTCAGTGAGAAGTAGAGAGAAAGGATCCCACCAGAGAGAGGAGTCGACGGAAGTGGAGGTGGCCATAGGAGAAGTCCAAGTGAGAGCTTCGGAGCTGAACCCTAGCAAGCAACGGAGAAATGTTTGTTTGATTCTCTCTTTTTCGCGCCTCTGCGTTTCAGAGGACCTTGCCAATTGCCACAGAGTTCTTCATGAGGAGACGAAGTATGTTAACACGAATAAATTTGGTGCTTTCGCCCGCGGTACCCAGCGCGGTCGAATCCGTGCGAAATTTTTAGGTCTTTTTTCAATATTATGTATATTTTTCCTTTTTTTTAAGTTTTTGGGACATGGGAAGCAGGAGTTCAGAACTTAACAGAGGTCAATTATCACTAGTTATGTTTTTAATTAATGATATATTAACTAGGTTCATTATTGAAAATTAAAATTTCGGGTTAAATATATGTCTTTAATAATATTTTACCTAGTTTTAAACGAATTCTTAATTTTTTTTAATTCTCAAATTTACCTTGTATTAAAAATTTCCAATTAAATGTTTCCATTAAAAAAAAAAGTTATCAAAACCTTAGGTGCATTTTAAAATTGCTATCTTTAACAAGGTATTACATATATGTTGTTTTGGAGTTTAAATCTCTAATTTCAAAAGAATAATAGATATTTAATTGTTGAGCTATATTAATGTTAGTATTACTGGGATGTTCTTGACATATAAAATCTGAGTATGATTTAATGGATATAATTGCTATCTTATCCATTAGATTATTCATTTTAACATCTTCAGGGGCAAGCTAAAGTTGATTTTGAACTTGTATTTGATAGATATGTAGACCGCATATGTAGATGTAGAATGATCATGTCCTAATTGATTGAGGATACAAATTGTAATATTTTTGTAGCAGATTTATGGGATTAGGGGCTTGAATGTAACAACATTTTCCACAATAACGCACACAAACAAAGAAGTCAAAAATTAATTTCGACAAATATGGCAAAAATATCACACCCATGTTAGCCAAACATGATAATTTTAAAGCTGAAATATTAGTATCAAACTGACAAATTTTCTCAAATTTTATTTTTATCAACCCTCTTGTCTTTAACCTGCAATGCCAATCCAACTTAAATTATCTCTTAATTTCAGAATTTGGAATGGAAAAATATTTGCGACTTTATCGAGACCAATAACAATGAGTTGGCAAATTTTCAACGGTGATAAGGAGAATATTTAATCCAACGAATTAGTTTTTGGAAGAATATGAATATTTTGTACAAGTTTGCATTATATGGAAGGGGAAAATCCTTGGAACCATATGAAAACCGTCCTGTGTCTGTACGGGCAAACTCTCAGATCAAGAACAATGGATCAACGACGATAAAACAAAACAAGAACAATTATATTATTAGTTTTTATTTAAACAAAATATATAAGCATATTAATCAACTTTAAATTTATAAGTCAAGATAAACTAAAAAAATACTGAACTGTCCGAAACCATTCCTGCCTTTAATTTTTATCTGGGCAAAAACAACCACAACACGCAAGAAGTTGAAAATGAAATTGTTCTAAATGAAACTTTGTCCATTGACATTTACAGAATCCCGATCTCAATTGTGAAACAAACAGCCACATAACAGTCCACACAAGTCCAACTCATATAGAAACTAAATAAAACAACAATTCACTCCTGTTTCTTCTGTCCTTCTGATTTGATTCCGTCTTTTATAGTAAAAAACTGGAGATTTATTTGCAGCAGTTGAAAGTTACAAGATAAACCTCCACTGCACACTACAATGGTCATTCTGCTTATTAGGGGAAACAACACTGCAAGACGATAATAGCCTAAGGATGAGAAGTAGAAGGTGGGTATTTAGGGAACTTTCCAAACTTGGGGTGAGAGAAGTACTTTGGTGGGAAGTGGGGAAGGTGAGGCAAGTGAGGAATGGGAGGCCATGGCTTCTTAAGGAAAGGATGATGGGGAATCTTTGGAATGGGAGGTAGATGCTTGAGGAAGGGATGTTTTGGCTTGAAAAATGGGAGCGGAGGTGGAAGCGGCTTGACATATATTGGAACAGGTGGTGGGAGGATCTTTGGAATTGGAGGATTGTAAATGGGGA